TCTAATACTAACTTATTAATATTTAGGATGATAAATATTTTTTTTTCTTATAGGTCTATGTGTGCAATTTGAAGGTCTTTGGTGCAACATTTGGTGTCCGAATCCCACTTGAACTGTACGTTGGCCAATGGCAACAAATTGATGTTGCTTGATACATTTGATCATTTGGAGCGTGAAGGTCGGATCATAGATGATCGTAGCATGTGAATAGTTGTTGGGCAGACCGGTTGGTTGTGCTACGAGTTTCGCCTTTGACCTACTTGGGCAACGACCGGAGTGACAGCAACCTGCAGCCAAGAGACCAGGGACCCAGAACAGCTCACGCGGGAGGCTCAATGGGCCACCGAATTTCTCGCCTGGTATGGCTTCGCATTCTATTTGATCCAGGCATGAATCGTGCTTGAGCTGTTGGGTTCGTCGACGATCATGAGGGAACCTCTAATCCAACATGAGATGAGTGAGCTGACCTCCCATCCTATGATGGGCGAGGCCCGATTCTTCCTGCTTCTTGTGATGGGTGCCATAGCCAGATACATGTGCAAGATTCATCAAGATTCGATTTGCCCTGCTTGCTGGGTGACATTTTGAGTCAACAGCCTGCACGCTCGGATCCAGGTATTCCCAGTCTCAAGGTAAGTACGGAAGCGGGTTCGTGGAAGGCAGCATGAGGCGACGTCTCACTCGAACGGTGGGAGTCAACTTTTCCTCGATGGGAGGCGGTCGCACGCTTCTACCTGGGCCGCAAGCTTCGGAGGAGTATCGTCGCTTGAGCGCCGGAGTCGCTTTTGGAGCATTCCTTGGGGGCCGCGGAGGGGCGCAATGGCGGCCTTTGGTCAGGTCCCATTTGGCGTCAGAAGAGGTGTCTATCTAGACCAGAGGATTGAGTCGTCCAGCATGAGTTCATTCATGTTCGCTGTCAAAACAGGAATTCAGATGAATATATAGCCTTATAGCATCTTATAGCATAAAGCGATACACCCCAACCACTGACTGCGTTGGTTCTTTTGACCCTGAAATGGCTTCTTGCACTCGGATTCCTGGACTCGGATCCGCACTCCAAAAGCAAAGGGCCTGAAGCCTGAAGCACAAATGACTTAATCTGAGTCTTTAATCTATAAACTGCCTATAAACGCTACGTTGCGACCCGACCTGGTCGACCCCGGTGTTTTCTTTTGCGAGGTTTCTTTGGTGATCCAGAGTTCGTTGGATGTCGTATGATCACGGTTTTGGAGGATGCGACCGTTTGTTGTGTGTGTGTTTTTTTTTTTTCTCAGGTTTGGAATGCTTTCGTGACGTCAGTGATCAGCCTCCTGTTCCTTTTGGCCATTGCCCCGGGCAGTCAGGGGAAGATTTGTGACGCAACTTTGCACTTGGACAAAGAATGTGAGGACTTGGACCTAATTTACCACAAGAGGCTGTGAACCCCGTGAAGATCTGTGGAAGTTATGCCAGTTTGGACCAAGCGAATAAAAAGGACTCCTGACAGTCGTGGCCATCCAGAATCCAGATAATAATGAAATCTATAATGACTCTAGGACTCTAGGTATACATTGACATGATCTCTCTTGGAACTGCAAGGAAGAACTCTAAGGTCATTCCAAACTCTAGTCCAAGAATGTCCAATAGTACAATCAGTTTCGTCATTTCAATTTTTTGCTTGGAACTTCCTGAAGAGCCTCTCCGAGAATCCAAGAAACAACATGGCTTCTCAACGTCTCACAGAGTACTAGTCTATCTCGAACACTATAACACTCCATGTATGGAATAGTTGCAGACATTTACCCCATGTGTGAGGCCAATGTAATTGACCCTGCCCTTGCAGTTACAAAAAGTAATGTACATCTTGGCACAGTAGGTATCACGCAACCGCCAAGTACCCGGCACATCTGGGCACCAGCAGGATTTTTTTATCGTTATCATGAACACGAACGGGTGTTGAACTGTATGGAGTGTCCATGGGACGTCATCTGTGCTGAAAACAACGGCAAGACATCAATGATTTGATCAAGGAAGTAAGCCCAATTTGCCAACATTCCCATATTCGTTGAGGTCATGGGCTTTTCAGCCTCCTTTCAGAAGGAGTGGTCCTGGAAGGCTCCGCACTGCTCGCTCGTGCGCGATCGCTCGTGGCGCCGTCCATCGTGTGGTCCTTTTGGGGCTGTCTATCACTGGAGTGGAGCTGCCCGGCTCAGGATTCGGGCATTTGGGGCTTTTCATAGCAGTGTTTGGGGAAAAAAGACGTTCACATAAGCTGCACAGTTCTCGCATTTTCTTAAGGAACCAATGTTGGACCAACTATGAGGATCACCTGGTAAACCGAAAGATGCTAAAGAACAAACTGGAGCATGACAACATCCATTCAAGAAAGCCCCAACATCCCCAAACAATCAATGTATATAGATGTTTTAATACCATGTAAGACCTCAATTTGGAAGACGATCGGATCATTCGGTGTTTCTACGGATCCCACCAGGGGTTTTCCCACCTGCAACGCCACCTGCCCTGCCCAGGCGGAGCCCATCGGCGCCATCGTCTTGGCCATGGCCCTTCGGCCGCGGACGACCGCAGACCGCTTCGGCCGAATGGGGAGGTAACGGTGTGTGTTCGATGTCCGAAGCAAGAGAATGGGGAGGTACGGTGTAGCAAACAGTCTCGCACATCTCCACCAAGCCAACCTTTCTTCTGAAAGAGTTTTTGGGTGGAAGCAGATTGACCTTGCGTTTGAGGTCACCGAAGGGGTCAGGTTCTGCTTGGAATTGCATAGTAGCTCAAACATGGCGTAATTAGGTTTTTCCCACTTGGTTTAGTGGAATTGAACCGCATCCGTTGGAACCCATGCTACTTTGTCCGACAGGAAGAATGATGAATGATGAGAGGACTCCGCTCACCAAGAGCTGGTCATACTGCTTACTACAGAGCAAGAAGGTCATGTCAAGTTCTCCAAGAGTTGCTTAGATGTGTTAGTTGATTGACCTGCCACACGGTCCCTTTGTACAGGAACGTCCTTCTAAAGCAGACCATGCGGAGTCGGCCACGGCAGGGTGGGGGAAGCCACCCCGAGGATCACCTTTACGGTCAAGTCAGACTGGATGTCAGACTGGTTCCTAATCGAACTCTACTTATATACGTTATACATATTTACAATACCACAACATACCACATCCTGCATTTAGACCCCTCTGGTTGAATGTTATCCAAATGATTCCAAATGTATCAATGTTTCTTTCCTTCCATGTCACTCATCTTGGATCTACTTCTCGCACCTGAAACCACATCAGGCACCGGCCGACCAGTCGGCCTCCCAACTGGTCGGCACCGAGAGGTGCGTGCGTCGTGGGCCTCCCGAGGTCTGTGTCATTGAAGGTATCCGGATCACCATCGCCAACATGGACGATGCTTGGGAGCGAAACGGTTTGACCGGAAGAGGACCAGGCCGATATGGACGAAGGTGACAAGTTAGACATGGTATGACATGGTACAAAAGACAGGTTAGAAGCAAGCAGGTGGTTTGTGTAGAGGATCGTGTCACCAGGGGTGGTGGATGGAAGCTCGTGTTTGGGCGCTGCTCCAAGCGCTTCATGCTTTTTTTGCTGACCGTTTTCGGTACCGAAGACGAGCCTCGAACAGTTGTGCATCGTCGCGTGTCCAAGGACATGAACACCCGCATGAGATTTGACTCCAGGGCCTAACACTGTCTCAACCACGGGCACGACTCCTCAGCGGTGCACCGGGGAGGAGACAGATGGTGGGGTGCTTCACGTGGAACACCGGATGGACTGGGGTCGGTCATGAACTCACGATTGTTTTCGGATAGGAATTGGGTGGATCAGTGACCATCCTATTTCAGTTGATCGCGTTAGCTAGGAGATGTTGGGTAGAGCACAATGGACCCACACCATCCCTTTTTTGGTATCTCTGCGGACATATTGCGGAAGACAAGACACATTCATGTTTGCTACTGTTTGGGCGGTCGCATCCAATGTATCCATCAATCCATGTTTTTGAGGTCACATAGTATACATATTTGTAGGGTTTGTCAGTAAATAATTATGATCGATATATTACATTATCATCATTACCATCATTTTTGAACAAGGCCTTTACTAGTCATCGTCATCCACTGTTACACGGCGCAGCGGTCTATTGTTCCATCACAGGTCTTTATTGTTGGGCGCTAGCCAGTTTCGCTTTGTTCGAGCTCGCTTGCCAGTGGCCTTTGCAAAAAAGAAACAGACTTATGCCGAACGATTCTTCGGATTTGAGCTGCAACGGTTTGTGAACCCATATTTTGGACGGTTGCCACACGGAACCTGGCACGGACCTCGGACCCACCAACGGCCCTGTCAGACCGCTGAGAGAAAGGAATTCATCGCAGTTGGCCCGGCCCACCGAGCTGGGCCTAAAGCAAAAACCGCTTGGGCCAAGATCGTTGGTGCTGTTGAGACCCTGATGGCACTGATGGCCCTGAATTCATGTGCTATGGAGGGTGGCTCGGAGGGTGTGGTTTGGTGCCTTCCAGAAGAAGCTATTTGGGTAGAGTTCAGGTCAAATGGAGGTCAAAATGAAAGAGCATCATTGCGAGGTATCAAAACAATTACTAGCCAATTTAGTTGGTTTAACTATAGCAAGAAGTGGTAGTTTTGTTCTGTATAGTGAAGATCAAAGAACATTTGCCTTCCAGTCACCCTGCAAGTTGACTGCGATGTGTATCCAGCCACTTGCCGCCAAAGCAAAGCATTTCAGATGAAAGAGCGAGGCAGCCGCGTTCTATCCACTTCAGAACTAAATCTCAATTTATTGTGACACATTGAATGACAATGAATGAATCCATATTATTCACATGAACCCCCCATATAGCCTATACGAAAACATACAAATACATGTCCACATTCTCCATTCAAGTCAAACCTCCAACACTCCGTATTGGACCTCTTGAGTTGAGAGACAACTTGAGTTCTTCTTCTTTACACGGCGCTTTGATCGCTTTGTCTCGACTCCAGGTGCTGTTCCATGCCAGGCTTCGAGGCGGGGTGCTGTTCCCGCACCGTCTCAGCCGTCGCCGCCGTGAAGGGTCCGTAACCTCGGTGCTGACTCTCCGCCTCGGGCGACCTCGGTAGGCCCAAAGCATGAAGTGCTCAACTGGGAGGCGACCGGTGTCGCGACTGGTGGCGCTTTTTGGAGCTGACCTCTTTGGTTTTGGAGTGACCGGTTTTGGACGTGCGCAAGTGAGCTGGGGACGAGAGTAGAGGAATTATGGATGAATTAGGACCTGGCCACGTGCTCTTAGTGCGCGTCAGGTCATCCCACAGAGCCTGGGATGAACATGGGTGATTGGCAGTGATTGGGGATGAACGGTGTGACATGACCCTCACACTGACAGAGGTTGCTCGCCCAGAATTTCACGTCCTGTTGGTGCTTATCAGATCTCGTTTGCGGTTTGGAAGACTAGTCATTAGATGTCATTAGTCTATACTTCACCGGTCAAACTCCCAGCTTGCTTGCAAATCCTAGCTACTATCAGCCCTGTCGGTTCCTTAATGCAAGTGAAACTTAATAAAGTTCCAAAAACCACCCGGGCCTGCAGTTAGCTTGTTTTAACTTGTTTTCTGGAGCACAACTGCGCTATTGATCAACCAATCCAGGGTCATAAATTGACGGTGCTACTCGTAACGTCGTATGGTGTTAAAGGAGGTGAGTTACCTATGAAATTGTGCGTGCAAAACGGCAGAGACGCCATGATTACCAACATTTACCAACCATTCAACATTGATTTGGTCAAATTGGGTTCTAGATATGTTTCAAGTGGCAATAGCTTGGAGGGCTGAACAACGTTTCGCTGCGTGAGTGGGCTTCAATCGAAGCGACAGGCAACATGCAAGAGATGCGAAAGAAACATCCGAGAGAGGAAGCCTGATAAGAAGGTGCGCATGGACTAAATGATGGAGTATGTGAAGAATCAACTGACGATTCGTGAGTTTGGCATCCAAAGAAGAACCAGTCCTATGCGTCATGTTGTATGGCTAAATCAAATCCATTGTGATACTCTCTTATAAAGGACCTTGACACAGCAAGGGGGTTAAGCCGTTAACAATCCACTCAGAAACATGATAAGCTGGGCAAACGCTGCGAGCAGACGCTTAAGAGCACATTGTTCAGGAGCATAACAAAGATGACTCCCTAGGCTCCTCAGAAGGTACTTCGACCCACCCCAAATACCTTCTCAGAAGGTAGTTGGAGTCCCGGGGATTTTACAATTGCATGTCAGCTGATCCCACTGTCATAAAGTTACAGTGACAGGATTTGCAGATTTGATTAGAACATGGGTCTCTACCAAAGTGCAGGAAGTTGTTTTGCAACAAAATTGCTGGGGACGTTCCTTGCAGCAAACTGTGCCTTGACGGGTAGACTTTCTACATCATCATTTTTGCAAGTGAGACAGAGACACCCCGCATGTCCGTTTTGCACACCTACAGATGTTTCCCCAGAAGACTAAGGAGAGATACCGGATCTACAGTGAATACTTATATTATGATCAAAGCGGATTTCTTGTGGTTGTTGTTATCCCGATAGATCACCAGGTCCTGTTTGACAGATGCTGGTGTTTTTATGCAACACGATCCATGAATGTTACCCGCTCTTTTTCTTTTATGTTTGTGTTATAGGACGCAACCAATTAGTAGCTCTTGGCATCGCTACTAGTACCCAAGGGCATCGCTATTAGCAAGGACACCACTAGTAGCTCGTCCAGTTTTTGCGTTCTTTCCCGTTTGGGACTGCCGGAACCGCCAGGGCCGGAACCGCTGGGACCGTGCGGAACGGACCGAGGCTTCCCAGCTTCCGTACCCGGTCTTTATCCCCAGCTGTGGCCGTGCTGAAAAGGTGCGGAGGGGAGGATCAAGGGTGTCTTTGTCGGAGTGAGGTGTTCCAGGTGGAGTGGGGTAATTACGGACCAGTGGAGTGCATTGCAAAACTGATTCACTGGGACATTGCAAAAATTTGTCTGGGCACGACTGTGGTGTTGACAGCTGATTGCTGGGAATTGACAGCTAGTTGCAATGAAGTTAATTTAAAGTCACTAAGATTCGCAGCTGCTGTTTGAAAAAGAATGGTACGAAAAACATCGTCTTCCTTCCGGGCTCATGGCGCCACTTTGATGTGATGTGGTCGGAGTGGTGCAAGGACGCGGAGACTTGCCGCAGGATCCTCCAGTTGGGCTGGTAAACCCCAAGCCCAGAAATCCGTTTTGGGCAACGGGTGGAACCCCAGGCGTTCTCTTTGTGAGACACCGCAGATAACTTCAGATAACCAAAACCCCCCAAAAAATACACAGGAAGTGTCGTATTCTTGACAGTTGTGGCACCCACCTCATCTCCTTCCCCCCAGAACTCTCCCTCCACCTTCGTCCACCGAGGCTCACTTGAACTGGCGAGCCTCACATGTCTTCGGGCCGCAGGACGCGTCCATCGAATCTGTTCATGCTTTGATACTGGCCAGTCGATAGGAAGCATGTTTTTGTAAGATGATGTACATTCAAGTCTATCCATCCCCCTTATGAAAACATATGAAAACAATTGATTGACACTTGACACTATGTTGTGAACATCTGACGTTTGACATGGGGGTTCTTTCATCATTGATTTCGTTTAACGGTCGGCAACAGATGCCCCATGTTGTGGTATGACAAGATCCGCACTACTGGTATGATGCAAAGAAACCGTTGCCTATGCTCCTGTCTGCTGAGTAGTGGTGATGATGATGGGAATCTTGAATTGAAGTTATGGCCATCGCTAGCCGCTGGCATTCTTCCATCCAGGCAGATTCAACACACAGCTACATCCAACATATTATGTACGACCGCTTCATCATGTCATGTTTCTTTCTTCTTCCAACCCAACGACTCGATGTTCACCGCGGACGCTGAGTTCTCCGAATGCGTTGGTTGGCAGTCACCGGTGTCACCGATGTCACCCAGGAGACCACACCCTTGGGCTTGCGGCCGGTGGTGTGCTTGGTCATTGAGCCAGAGGAAGAGGAGGGTGGCCCACCGTACCGTCGCTGAACGATGTTGGTCGCGCCCAGGGTTAACCTTTGACCTCCAAAGAGATCAACCTCCCAGTCAGTGGAGAACCTATTTTGAGGATTGTTTTCCTGGAAACAAACAGGTTGAAAATAAGGTCGGTATATATATAAACTTATAGTTATAAACTGAGGAAGTCAATCAGTCGGTAGACCGAACCACGCTGTGTGAGTGAACGCTCGAAGCGAAGGCCCAGGCGACTCGTCGCCCGGGCCCCACCCGCACTTCCTTCACAAAAGAATTTGGTCAACTTACACACAGGCAAGTCACATCATTGAGTGAGTCAACACCTTAATTATAGTCTTTGATGTTTTTTTCCTCGTCAACACCTTAATTATAGTCTTTGATGCTTTTTTCCTCCAGGTGAAGTCTGGATTAACTATCCAAATGCTACGGCACACCATGTTTTCGCCGCGAACCGGTGCGTGGTGCGCTTCCTCGTCCGGGTGCGCTTCCGCCAGGAGGACTACCGCGCTGCCTGGCCTTTGTCGCTGATGCTGATTCTTCCCGAGGGCGCGCCCCCGGGGGGTCCCAGGAGGTCGTCCCACGGGGGAGGTCAGTCCCGTTGAGCGGGTCCAAACGCCAGAGAGTCAGGAAGGAGCACCAATCAAGGGAGCAACGTTCAGTAGGGGGAGTAGATGATAGTTTCATGGTTCTATATTCTTCTGCACATGCATGTACCTACTTGTAGCTGACTCGTTGTTGTTGTTGGCATATGTTGTGTGGGTTGGTGGTCCAACAGAAGGGTAAAGATAGATTGTTTTTGTTATGGATATATTGGATATGATCAGTATTGCTATCATGTTTCGAGGTGATGTGGCGAGGCCATTCCCTCAATGTCTTCAGTGTTCAATAGCACATATATATATATACACAATGTACAGCTTGGATATGGTTGCATAGTGTTGAATGGCCACCAGATGCCTTGGGAAGTTGAACCCTCCCCCCAGATGGCAATCCGCCAGAGGCGCGGGTCCGACGTGGTCCGTGTCGGGAGACCGACAGACCGATGGGACCGGGGTCCGTCCAGGCCACCGTGGGCCGGGCTATGCGAGGTGGGCACGGGCCCCTGGACACCAGGGTAGTAGCAAGTGCATCGCTACTAACGCTACTAGTAACAAGATTCTACTAGTAGCTCCTGGCAACACTACTAGTAACAAGATGTAACAAGA